TCAGACGGCTTAAGATCGCCAAGATCGGTTTCGTTGAGGAGTTTCGTAACTCGTTGTCAATCGGATAAGCCTGTTCTTCTCAGAACAGCTGTCTTGACTGCATTGTAAGTCTTTTGGTCGTCAGGAATATCTAGAATGTCATCAATGTCATCGATGACATTTAGCGGAAGCGCGGAAATGACAAGGTGGAACTTGGTCTTTTCGGACCTAATACCACGCAAAGAAAATTGCGACTCTAGCTGACCAAACCAAGACTTAGGATTAGTCTCTTGATAGCTGGCGGGGGGAGGGGGGGCGGGGAGGAACAAGGTGCCGAAATGAGGGTGGGAGCGTTAACTGGGGCACGATCCGAATGGGGTCCGGGGAATGGTCGGTGGGGATGCGGGGTCTGGTCAGGTGTCCATAATGCCGGAAGCAAAAATATGGTCGTGAGCCCGCCGAGAATTTATTAGACACAGAAAATCGCGTGCTGCGTGGGGAGAGTGAAAAACTGTGGAATACACGGGTTTATGCGTAAAAATTGTGGGGCCATATGTTCTTTGAAAGGTAAGGTTAGCGAATTATCATTCAACCTGCGGAATAGCATGACCAAAATCGGGGTACAAAGCCTAATAAAGCGACAGACAGGCGATGTGCGAGGTACGCTTTAGGAAAACTCGCGAATATTTAAGGCGGCCAACCGTCCGATGAGTCGGAGAAAGCACAAAAAGTCTAACTGCTGATCAGTGAAATAAAATTTTATTAATGGGTATTGGCCTATCCAAACTGACTGATGCTAGATGTCTAAAAAATTAGAGTGCCCGAGAAGATATTGCTAGCTAAGGTGGAAAAGGGTTTGGGTCTGTCGGTGCGCCGGAGAGCAAAGGATGGCCCAGAGCCGGATTTGACGTGCGCCGCCGGTGGTGCAGAAAAAAAAGAAAAGGGCGGGGATAGCTATTGTTTTGCTGTCGGTGCAACAAGGTCCGCGGAGCAACGTTCAAAACAGGAGGGCGACGGGTGCGGCTGAATTTGGCTGTGCATCGAGTGAAACGTACCAGATTTTGTGATGTTTGTATCTATTCTTTTATGTCGCAGCGCAATGTGCGGTTCTAGTGCCAAAAAGACAGGGGTGAATTCGTGGCCCAGGGTCCGCTGACACAGGTGTGATGCTAATAGGAGTAAGATAACTAGAAAAAGTGTAAACAACTACAGTAAGAGAGTATAAAGATAGGCAGGTGAAGGTAAATGTCAGTAGTATGGAGTGAAGCTAGGTAATAGAGAGCAGCAGGAAGTAGAGAAATACCTACATAGATAGATTTGAGTCTTAAACCGCTAAAAATGAACCACGATTGTTGAATTGCGCCGTTTGGAGGGTAAGGGGATATCCGGAAAAAGGGTTGAGTTGGGCGTCTGCCCCTGCTCCCGAAATGACATGCGGTAGCTCACATACAGGGAGCGCGGCAAATACCGCTACCGTGGGAGTCTCCTTATAGCCACTTTGCTGGCACATCTGGACGAGCGGAATTGGGTCCAAGTCGGAAGAAGAGAGGAAGATATCTACATCAACGCGCGGGTGAAGCAGACGGGGTTTCCACTCCCTAGGAGCGATCAGCTCATCTAGCTACAAATGGATTGATCGCAGTTTCCAAGTGGGTGACCGCACGGGGGGAGGGCGGTAGAAATTTCGTCAGGGTTAGCGGGGTGGTGACAAAAGTAGCCTTACAGTCCGGCAGGCGTGGTCTTTATCCCGGTCTATAAATACAAGAAGTGAGAATCACGGATCACGGGGGTGGGTTATCCTTGGTCGTAGGTGCAGTTTGGGTACCCGTTACCACAATACTGAGCCATTTTGTGGGGGAAGGAGGGGCGTTCTAAGATCGTTCCTGTGCCCGCCTTGGACAATTGTTATAGATCGGTGGATTGGTCGGACACCCAAACCGGAGTGGTCCCACTCGTAACATCGATCTCCAAGTCACCCTTTTTCTCGGGTGGTTACGAACTGGTGGGAACATAGCCGTATGGATACACTTCCCAGGTGGGGTCGGATGAAGTGCCAGAATAGGTGCTTCCAACCAGTGACAGAATTGACCGTTAGGGTGCGATTGTCGGTGCGTCAAAAGCAGTCGAATACCGCACGTCCTATCGGCAATACTTCTCACCCAGAGCAAAGCAGTTTAAACTACCACCTGTCTTCTATAACTTGCCTGCCGTCCCCTAGATATTGGCATTGCTTTGATGAGTGTACGGACTCACCTAAATCAGACCTGGTCTTGGAGGTGTTGAGCTAAAGGGGAAGTGGACAGCCCCATCTCATTGAGCAGCAGTTATCGGTTCGGAAAGGTGTGGGGGGGGGCGGTCAGCGACGCGATTCGAGAAGCCGAAGGCAGCTTTGTGTCCTATTTAGGGGTATGGCATCAACCATACGGGCAGATCAATCTGTGACCCAGTGAACTCATATACCAGCGCGGCGCAGAAGGGGAGCAGCTGGGGGGGGTGAATTTACCTACAGGGACTTCAGGAATAGACCACAATATTGGCCCAGATGTTAAGGTCGTCAGCAAACATTAGTGATTGACATCTCTATGCTCTTCCACCCCCCCCCGCAAGTCTCTCTTTTATCATACAGAGTCTGCGAACTAAATCTAACCCAACTTGGCCCCAAGTATGCCGGACCCGGGGCGGGATCGGCGGCGCGGACAAAAAAAAAGGTACGGCTTGCCTTGGCGAAAGGCTGGTGCGTGGTGGGCCTCTCTTTAGAGGGCTCGCGCTGTACACGAAAGAGCCTAGTACGAGGAGGCGGGTTCAAGAAGAAGATTCGATTGTTCAGGGAGAGATTTGGATTGGTAGCAGGGGGGGGGGGTAAGAAAAGAGGTGGCCCTGTTATTGCTATGTGCGGGTGGGGGAAGAAGGTAGGCTACGCCGGTGGAACGCTCCTATGCTAGGTCGACCGGATCAGTCCAGCGAACATCTCTAGAGCCAGTGTGGTGGGGCGTGCGTTTGCAGGTGATTGGTCCGGTGATATGCGGATACGCCTTAAGTCAAAAATGGTGCGGACTGAAACAAAATATAAGCGGGGGGTCTAATAAAAAAAGGTCACGGGGGGTCGTCGAGGTGGACTCTCAAGGAGCAAAGCATTTTCGAACAAAACCACCAACGCACGGTTTGACTACAGTTTTAACATTTATAGATATTTCGTGGTTAATGACATTTTACGACGGGGCTGGGCAAAACCGGGGGGTGAACTTGCTCTCCAGGACGCTCGGGCGCTGGGCGGCTAGACTCCGTCAAGCGCGGTGTAACGCAGTCTGTGCGAAACTCCCCGGTCACCTCTAAGATGGCAGACACCCATGGTTGTCAGGACGCGTGCGGCCACCCGAGGTGGGCGAAATCAATGGCTTTTAAGACCTGAAGCGTGTATGGTGAGAGTCTCGTGCGAGGTATGAAGGAACATTGTCGAGAGCCTTTCGAAAAACTCCGACAGTATTGTGCGGATGCCTACAGTCCACAGTGCACGCAGGAGCTCACAAAGTGGAGATTAAGTTCAATGCCAAATGAAAATCCCGGGGGGTTATGTTGCGGATGGGTGACGGGTTCACCACCATGTTGAGCGGGCAACGCACCTATGTGCGATAGAAGGTTGGTGGAAAAGAAAATGCTACTTTTTAGCTAGTGTTCTTTCTTAGCCGGAGGAGGGGGAGGCACTGAAAATCCCCATTATCGGATGCGTAATTTCCAAGATCCTCTTGACTTACACGTTGGGGCGGTTGTCACAATAGCTGTAGCAGGGGTCTGGGTACAAGTGTTCACACTATTCGGTATTCTCCGCCAAAAAAAATGGGCGCTGGGTGCTGGTTAGCCCGCTGTACCATCCATATAGGGGTTCTTGAAATGATTCGGAGCAGTAGCGTGGGAATTTTCTTTCCTTTCCATTGCTTGCAGGTAAGCCCAGTCGGCGTCCAGCGATTAACTGATACAACAGTGTGGGCACATGTGAGAAGGACCATCGTCAGCTCGGGGAGTGGCCAAGGGGGGGTGCATGGTGGGCACACCTTTGTCGTGAGGACTTAAAATTGGCAATCAGAGTAGCGGAACAAATTTTAAGAGGGGATTTTAATGCCGTTGAGTGTAGGGGCTTCGAAGCACTTGACAGTCTCCCGATGTAATGGCGGGGAAATTTCAGCACTTAAGCAAGTAATCTCTCTGGAACACTTGAAGCCATAGGGGCGCCTTTCATGGGTAAATAGCAAGGGGGTTCGTCTGGCCGAGAATTAACTCGTCGTAATCACCTGATGCACTATAGTATAACGCAAGGCTCTGTCATGTACAGGGTTTGTGCGGGTCACGGGGGTTCGCCGGGTCTGTGCGGGGGTCGTTCACTCAACGCTGTTGGAGTAGTACCATTGTGTGGGGCTTCACGCGCTGCGTCTTTTGTAAAGTAGATCACAAAACGATGGCGCGGTGGCGTAGCCGTTAAGCCTCCTACCGTATTAACTATGAATCGACACCAATACTCTGGAAGATGTTCTGCATTTAGGAAAGTCAACAAAACAGGTGGGGGCTAAGGGGGGAGGGGGTTTTGATGGTCACACCCGATTGAGGGCTAGGAGTTTTCCAATTAGGCAGTTCGGATCGCAACATTATACAATTAGTGTACTTGGCCTTATGGGGCGCGTGGGGCCTTCGGCAGCTTTTGGGATATTTCGGCGTCAGCAGTCAGGGGGCGTTGGGGCCTTATAGTCCTGGGGACGCCTTGCGTGGTGGCACTTGTAAGGCATGTGGGCGGCAACTATTCCATAGGAGAGGCTGTTCGCCGTTCAAGCCACACTGGAGTTAGTTCCTCGTCGGGGGGGACTGAGTGGAGTATAAGGGGTGGAAAAGCTTCGTAAGAATGCCTTACAATTCTATCTGTCTCAGGCCTTAACTAGGGTACAGGGTAGAGCCCTATCCGAGATCTGTGCTAGAGCATCTGAAGAAGGGGGGTCCAGCCATCATTGTGGGGAAAGGTAGCAGTGCGAGTAGGGATGTGTGTCTCCGTCAAGGGGGTCTCCCCGGGGGGGGGGTGTGGTTGGTCGATGGTAGGCAAAACGGTCCAGGGGGAATGGGGTAAGTAGAGGGACCAAAAACGAGGGGGGGGGGGGGGAGTGATTAAAACAGGGGGTTGGGGGGTTTGGATTAAAGCGCGCCGATGCGGGGGGGGGGGGGTGGGCCGGAGGGCACGAGGAGGGGGAAGGGGAGGGGGGGGGGGGGGGGGGTGGAAGGGGGGGGGGGGGGGGGGGGGGGATTGTGGGGTTGAGGTGTAGGTGTGGTGCTGAAGAAAGACATGTAAAAGGTGACATATCATTGGACTTGGGGAGAGGTTGGTTTCAGGAATTCAAAAATTAGGGTTAGTTTCGGGGGTGTGTGGCGCCCGGATTTATACAGGGAGCGAGACCGCCGAGGGGCTAGACGTCATAAGTGATCACGTAAGAGGGTCGGATGGGGAGTTCGGCAGGGGTTGCTAAAGAAAGGAGAGAAGGGGGGTCTGTGTCTTTAGGGAGAGGCGGCAGAGGGGGAAATAAAGCGGGCGGGGTACGAGTTAGGTGCGGGATCGTAAAGGGTGGCGCGGTCGTGGTGATGTGGGGGGGGGTTCAAAAAAGTGAGTGGTAGTGTTGTTGTCCAAAACTAAAACTATCAACCGCTACTGCAAATCCGAACGCAGACTTCGCTGCTGACTCAGCACCGTAGTGCAAGCTTGCACTTTATCCCTCTCTAAACTGCTGAGCTTTCAAAGTTGACAGACTGTACCTGAGACCTATCGTGCGTGCGAAACAATAATCAGATCGTTAACGTATCAGCAGCAAGCACGGATAGAAAGCAAATCTTATAATCACGACCGCACCTGAGAACTACAAGCTTATAGGTTATCATTCCGACCTAACCTTTACCTGAGGCTGTAGGGCAAAAACAGGCGGAAGCACCCTGCCAGAATTTCTCTACCCATAAGCACTCAAGCTCATTGATGAGTCTGAAGCAACCCCACACCAGAGCGGTATGGATGAACTGCGAGCTGATGCCACTGAGAAAAAGTATCACGTCACTCAAGACCTCATACATGCAAAACCGACATATCACTGTTGTGCGGGACAAAGTTGCAGAGAGCCGGCCCAATACTTACTCACCATGCACGATCTGACTAACGTTTCCCAAATCCCGCGACCTCAAGCTAGGCAAAGTCATTATGTGTGGTGCGACACCAGAAATTGGCAACAAAAAGTTTGTAGGACTCTAAAGGACGACTTACGGTAATGAGGTGTGCCCAACTCTATGCTTACTTGAAGTCAAAATGCACCCCTCACCACCCGCTGTATTAAACTCAGGCACTATGCACAGTACAAGACCGAAGCAAAAATGAGTCGTCGCCTTTTCATTGACTCCACAGCATCCGCCTTCCCTTCTCCTCAACTCCCCTTCCCTCCCCATCGTCCCCTCCCCGCGTACCCCACCCCACTCCTGCCTGTATACTATAAACGGATGTAAGTCCTGTTTTTATATTAGACTATCCGCTCGCATACCCACACATAACCATTGTTTCCACCAGACATGTTACTCAACCATTACTATTTCCCTTTCCTCCCCAACCTAATCCTTGGGGAAATCCTTTCTCTCCATGATCCTGTCCTTCCGTGGCCTCTGTTACACGAAAGTACAAATATCCTCCTCCTGATGAGCCCCCCAAACCCAGTGGGGGCTGGGTTTGCCGTACTGGGTGGGTACATATACCAATGACACACAACACCTCCAAAAAATGTCCTTTCGATCCACCCTCCACAAAAACTGCAACAACATCATTATCCCAACGAACCCACCCCCCCCGTTTGTCTTCATTCTATTTTCTTTAACACCACGTTTAGTTTAATGTTCTTTGTTCTTTGCAACCACATTTTGGGTTTCTTGCACTACGCTCACACACACCATACCACCGTTTTAGAAATCGTTCTTTGTTTGTTCTTACTTCCCTACTTAATGTTTTGTTTCTCTACTTTGTTCATTTGTGCGTTTTCATATGTTTGCACTAATTCAAGTACTATTTACCAGCCTTTTCCACCATGTTTTCTTCATTCTTGTTACCCTCCTGCACTTTTGCATCCCACCTCTTAGTTTGTTCCTTTTTGTTTTCTCACTTTGTTTTGTTCTCACCATACTGCCTCTCCTTCATTCAGACTTCCTTTCCTCCCACCACCCAATCCTTCCTTCCTTGTCCTCTGGCCCCCTATCACGTGCGATTATGAATCAGAGAATAATCAAACTACTGGAGTATGTAATTC